TCTTTTAAATCACCCTATCTTCTATGTTCTTTTTTTCTCACATCCTCATCATTTGTATACATTCTATCAACAACTGAACATTGTTGCAGGAAAATTTCTATATTGTTGGTGGTCATAATTCTGATATGAAGGTCAACTAGTCAGTGACCCGAACGCAATAGATTGTCCAACTAACTAGTTTTGACAACTTTGCATCGTGCCCTATATATTTCAAATTCTACAAATTCATATCTATCACCTGTGCTATGATCAACAAAAATAATCTCTATAGGGGAAAATACTACCAACGAATTATTGAACTTCATTCGAAACCAATTACTTTTCTTTGATTCTAAGGTTAATTACGTGTGTATCACAGAAAGCAACTCCAATATTCAAATATATGGTAAACTTAAGTAGTCCATATAGTTATACATAGTCAAGGACTATTAGTTGTGTCTTATTTGAATGTTATATCATGTGTTTACTCTTTTTGCTATATTGTGACAATTTATGCATAGTCTGACAACTTGACATAATATTTATCAATAGATAATTGTACAAAACATATAGGATGCATCTCCAATATATACGTGTGTATCACAGAAAGCAACTCCAATATTCAAATATATGGTAAACTTAAGTAGTCCATATAGTTATACATAGTCAAGGACTATTAGTTGTGTCTTATTTGAATGTTATATCATGTGTTTACTCTTTTTGCTATATTGTGACAATTTATGCATAGTCTGACAACTTGACATAATATTTATCAATAGATAATTGTACAAAACATATAGGATGCATCTCCAATATATATCAAATCTATTACTACATAACTGTTCCACCCAAACTCTTCCCACCAATATGTCGGATCCAATTCTAGTTGTTAGAGGCTGAAAAGAGGGAAATCAAACTTGCTATTCAATGCTAACTTATTTGCCAAAACATTACAAAGTACAATATTACAATAATTGTTACAACAAGCTCCAAGAGCAAGAAAAAAATACTATGTATATATCTTTTCATTATACTTTGTTTTTACACTTTAAATGTTTTCTTAATGACTTTAGGATGGATTGTGCACTTGTATGATAATGAATTTTACCACTATTAGTTATTTTTAATTTAACTTGTGTGCTCCATATTCGGTGACATGGAAATTGAAATCAAACATGAAACAAAAGAGCAAAGGTGATTATAAAACAGGCAAAATACACCTCCATAGCCATAATTATTTACGTTGTGACAATAATAGACAAATTTTGAAAAATACACCGATATAGCCATTCCGTTATTATAACTAACGATTTTCTCACGACTTTCTGACCGAAAAAAGGCTATTTGTGACGTGGCCAAGTTTCGGCATGCAAAGTAGATGAAAAAAAAAAACCTAAAATAAATTTTAAATTTTTAAAAAAGGGTTTTCTCATCATCCTGTCTCGTCTTCCCACCCTCGTTTCCTTGATTATTCCGACCACACCACCCAACAACAGTGAACAACTCCCAACCCACTCTTGTCGATCTCGCTCGCCATGAATCTCCTCACTGAAACTATCCCCTCAACTTTTTGGCGCCCTCGCAAATATCTTCTCCAGCTGGGGTTTTTCGGAGATGGATTCTTCAACCAATAATCAGCACAACCAATTGATGTTGAGGAAGAAGACCAGGTTTGCAGTTGAGGTGTTCCCAACAAATCCCAAATGGGAGTTGTGCAATCAACATAAAAAATGAAAGGAGGAAGGCATGCCCAAAATACAATGGTAGATTGTGACGACGAGGCCACGGACCCAATGTCGACGAGGAGGATTGCGATCTTGGTGTTGAAGTCGTTGTTGGGGTCGTCGCTGGTTACTCTGCCAGGAGATAACATAGTCTTATTGTATCTGTAAGGATGGAGGAGAGGTTGACGTTGTTCCTTAATTGGCAAACTGAGTTCTTTATTTACTAGATCTGATTTGGGAGATAGACACAATTCACTTGCCTTCTTCTTCCTGCTAGTTCATAGAGGATAATCTTTGCCTCTCCTCCTCTTCTTTCTCATATCTATGACATTGCCACCTCCTTAACTTGTCATCCCGTCATCTGGATCTCCGGTATGTGTCGACGTTCCATTCTGCTGGCGAATCTATGCTGGTGAATGGCTACCGATTTAGATGCTTGTGGAGAAGAAATATGGAGATTCCTCGATACACCTAGGGAAGGGGAACCTCAACTCACATCGCTACTGCAAAGTAGGTTTGGGACTATAGGAGGAGCTAATGGTGGTTGCCGGTAACGGCTTGTGGCCCGAAGCTTCTCCGTAGACTGGTGCTTAAGTGGATTGGGGCTAGGTAGAAGCTGACTCCAGAAGAGGAGGATTTCAAAGCTCCCTGCAGGATTCGAAGGATTCAGATGAGGAATCATAATTGGGGAATGGGAAAGAAGAATTGAGGAAAAAATAAATTAAATGGTTTTTGATACAATAAGCTAATTGAAGTGGTTGATGTGGCATGGAAGATGTGACTCATATTTGACTTGCAGTCCACTTCTGATGACATTTAAGTCCACATCAGCGAAGAGTTAACGATGTTAAAATTTCTAACGGAAATGGCTAAAGTTGTCAAGTTAGTTTTAAAAATGTGACTATATTTGTGTATTTTTCAAATTTTGCCCATTATTGTCACAATGTGAATAGTTATGGCTATGAAAGTGTATTTTGCCAAAAAAAAAAAACTACATGTTAATTCAGACAATGGCCGGGCCCAAAGCGCTTGTTGACTTTGACCATAGATCTATTTCATTTTGAAGGGTAAATACCACGTTTGGTCACTAGGTTTACTAAAAATGTCATATTTAATCACTAGAAAAAATTAATATCAGTTTTGGTCACTCGAATTACTGAATCAACCCATGTTTGGTCACTCTCCATTAGTCTCCATTAGCCTCTGTTAACACAGTCAATTTTTTGCTAATGTGTCTAACAGAAGTAATGATTTACCCTATTTTAACCTAAAAAATTGGCTTAATTGCAAGTTTGGTCACTCGAATTGCTAAAAAATTTCACGTTTGCCACTCAAATTAATTTATTCCATTTATAGTCACTCGAAGTAGTTGAACAGTTCAAGTTCGCTCACTCTCCGTTAATCTCCGTTAACATTGACTGACGTGGCGGTCAACTCTGACAGTTGACCGTTAAATGTGTGACGTGGCAAATAAAAAATAATATAATAAAAAATTTTAATTATTTAAAATTTACATCTCATTTTTACATACATTAATCTTTAAACGAGGAACTTCCGGCCTCGGATATCTCTTCTGAGGAACTTCCTTCGACGTTCCAGGTGGGGAATTGGACAAAAAAATGCAGCGCTAGCCCCCGCCGCAAACAGGCGCAACCAAGCTCCAGCAAAGCCAACGCCGCCGCCACAATCGAGACTTTCTGTCATACTACTCGACCAAGGAATGTTGACAGTCTACAAACGACTGTTCACAGTTTGCTTAACACTCAACATCCTCGCTTTAGTCCTCGCCGCCACTGGAAACTTCCCTTACGCGAGAAACAGAGATGCTCTGTTTTCAATAGCAAACATCTTCGCTCTAACTCTCTGTCGGAGCGAGGCCTTTCTCCAGATCGTATTCTGGCTCGCCGTGAAACTTCTGGGGAGATCATTTATCACGATCCCAATCAAAATCGCCGCGACGTCGTTTCTTCAGAGCTTGGGAGGAATCCACAGCAACTGCGGGGTTTCCTCTATTTCCTAGCTTGTCTATGCTCTGTTTCTCACCCTGAAAAACAGAGCCGACACTTCCTTTAAAATCATAGCGATAGCATCCGCCATTCTTTCCCTTCTCGGATTCTCGTGCTTAGCAGCTTTCCCACTCGTCCGCCATCTCCACCACAATTTCTTCGATCGAGTCCATCGATTCACCGGCTGGACGTCGCTCTGCCTTATCTGGGCGTCTGTAACTCTCACAATCACGTATGACAAAGCAACCAAATCTTACATCAACGAATTGGGTTCGAAATTAATCAAACACCAGGAGTTTAGGTTCACGATTGTGATTTCTATTCTAATCATCATCCCTTGGCTGACCATTAGACGGGTTCCGGTCAAATTCGAAGGCAGGGTTAAACCAGGGATACTGGGGAGAATAAACCCTTCCCCGTTGTCGGAGTGGCACACGTTTGGGATAATTTCCGTTTTCGGAGTGGCTTGCGGAGGAGGTATACAGGAAGGAGTCGCCGTGGGTGGTGCTGAACTCAAGGTTGAGAGACGAGATCAAGATCTCGGTGGCGAGGAAAATCGGCCAGGAGGTTTTACGAGCGGCATCGGTGGAGAGGAACGATCTGGCGGTGGAAAATAATAACTAAAAGAATTAGGATTTTTTTTAATTTATAATAATTATCTGGAAAATAGAAAATAAAAAATAATTTTATTTTATTATTTTTAATTGCCACATCACTCATTTAACGGTCAACTATTATAGTTGACCGCCACATCAGCAAAAGTTAACGGAGACTAACGGCAGTGACCAAACTTGAACTATTAACCTCATTTAAGTGACTACGGATGAAATAAAGTAATTCTAGTTGCTAACGGGAATTTTACTAGTAATTCAAGTGACCAAACTTGCAATTTAGCCCTAAAAAATTTCATACTTGACCTGCCACGTCATTAAACCTGCCACATAACATACTCATCACCCAACCAACCCAATCCAATCCAACCCAACCCATGACCTAACCACCTCTTCTTCCCCATTTTGACCCGAATGAAAAAACCCTAACTCCCAAAATTATATGCACATAAGTTACCATTAATGATTTTCCTCCTTGCCTCCCTCTCTTTATGTCCATCACCGCCTCTCCTGGTTGTAGCCCCGATGAAATCGATTTCATCACCCCTAGAATCCCCGCCACACGCATCAACGAGAAGGGAAGAATCGGGATCAGACCGCTGCCACCGCCGCTGTCAGGTCTCGGAGTCATATTCGGATCTACTGCCTTGTCTTCGTCGGGTGTTCTTGAGGACAACAAATCAACGGCAAACAACTGCCTTCCTCGTCGAATCCCCCTTCCGGCGACTAGTTATTCTCTCACTCTCCCCCCCCCCCTCCTTGACTTGAATTAGTTCCGGCGATGGGTGCACGACGGAGACCCTGATCCAATCGATGAAGCCCATGTTCTGGAGGGCCATCACCTCGTGGCCAGCGTTTGTGGAGAGATAGAGGATGAATGGGTGGTTGAGTAAGAGGTTGGGTGATTGAAGGCTAGAGAAGAATTTGGTGAAGGAGTTTAATTTGGAGATCCAGGGCGTGGTTGACCACAACGGAAGTTCTTCATCGTTGGATAGAGGTCCAGGCGGCAGGGGCATGAATCGCAGGTGGATGAAGGGAATTTCTTGTGGGGTTTTGTGATTGGGGTACCTAGACGGATGCAGGTTTCTGGGATTTGAAGTAAGCTGATGAGGAAGATGAAAGTTGCGATGTTATGATGGCTTATGCGACTTTGTTCAACAGATTCTCCACGCGTCCGCCATTGATGACCATCGAGAAGCACAAGGAAGGATTCTTGTAATAGCGGCGGGTCCAACTCCCCCTGCCATTTTGGGTTAGGAACAGAGGAGGAGGAGGAAGAAACGAAAGGGGGTGGCTAGATTAGGTTAATCGATGAAGTGAAGAAAATGAGGGAGAGGGCAACGGAGCTCCAGGGTGTTTGTGGCAGGGGCAAAGATCTTGACGAGATTAAAATGGATCTAGCTCGGTTAGGAAGAAGAGGAAGGATCGGGCTGGATCAAATCAGTGTTCAAGAAGACGCGCCTAGGCACGATTAGTTGCTGGGCATGGAGGAAACGTGGAGCATTGGGCTGGGCGATTGAGATGGGCCTACAAAATGCAGAAGCGAGCGGCAAAACGCCTAGGCGGCAGTTCTGCGCGGGGAAGCGCGCTTCCCATCCGTTGGGCGACGCCCAGGGCTGGAAAATAAGGGGAAGTTTATATGCTTTTAACCCGAAACCCATAACCCTAGATAGCCCATTTGTTTCATTCGACAATTCTGGGAAAGGAGACACCAGCAGCCAACCACGCGAGAGAGAGACCAGTAGCCACGACATCGTCGTTCTCCAAGCGAGCGAACAGCGCCGCCGTCCTCCACGCGAGCGACCAGCGCCACCGTCCTCGCCATCGACCAGCACCGTCCTCGCCGGTCGTCATCGTCGGTCGTCGTCGCCATCTGTTGCCGTTCGCCGTCGGCAGCCAGGTGAGAGTGGTTTGGGATTCGAGGGAGGGAAAGGGGAAAGTTGGGTTATATGTGAGAATAGTCGATTGATTGATGGTAGGGACGAGAGAGTTAAAAAGAAAGAACAATGAATTCGAGGGAGGGAAGTTGGGTGCGAGCATTATGTATAATTATATCTGCTTCTTCAAGGGCTGTTATATGTTTGTACTTTTTAGAGTGAATGCTATCTGTTTGTACTAGTAGAGTGAAATGTTTGTTCAAGGGTTGTTGTCTGTTTGTAGGGTGAAATGGATTGATATATAATTATATGTATATGAGTGATGCCTCTTAGTGACCAAGCATGACATTTACTCTCATTTTGAACGATATATGCAGTTAAACTAAACGACACCGCTACGGAGTGCTGGAGAAAAAGTCGAGGGCGTCGTGTTTTCATAAGATAAGAGACAAGGCGATATATCCATCATTGAAACCAACTCGCCGTTTCTTTTCGGCCCTTTGAAGATAAAAATTAAAAGCCTACTACGCCCATAAAGTTTGGGGAAAACCTTCTTCAAAAATCTTCATCGATTCCTCAGAACTTTACTTCTACCCTACTTTTTTTCGGATATTAGCCGGCCGGCGGGAGAAGCAGGAAACCCGATTTCCCGAGTGGTTGATCAAATGACGAACAACTTGACTTCCCAGAGTGAGGAGACGGAGCTTGAAGTGAGACCTGGCGGCATGCTGGTGCAGAGAAGAGACGGCGATGATCCTGATCACAGTCCCGGTGGTGAGCCTTCGATCAAGATTAATGTTGCTCTTGTCCCTGCTCAGCATGAGGTCCATGTCCCCGCTCAGTATACTTTCGGTATTATTCTCTCTTCGTTTTCCGTTTGCTTTCAAATCCTCTTACGGAACTCATAAGTTTACTCTAGGTTTTCTTAGCAAGTAGAAACTCCCAGTGCGTTCGATAAACTTTGAGCGAATTGCGGCTTTAACTGTTCGATTCGCACCACCTTTGGAGTCCAATGGCGTTTAAACGATATTAGGGATTGGCAGTCTGCGCATGATTGAGATCTGGCTCTTCCGTGGCTCCTACAAGTTTTACTTCTTTATTTGAACTTGTAATGGTGAATTATCTGGAAGAACTTAGCTTCAATGGGGCTTTATCGCGGATCTGGATTCTATAAGCCTTTCAATTGTTGCTTTCTTAGGGTTGTCCCTATATGGTGTTGACTAGCCTCAGATTAGAATCAATTTTTTTAGCAAATCAGCATGTTTTGCTGATGTGCTTTCAGCCTACAATGCTCGAAAAACGTTAGTTTTCCCTTCATAGCAGTTGCCACGTGATCACTTTGTTGATTGTCTGGGAATTAGGCACTGATCTTCATTTGATCATCTTGATGCATGCCTTATCAATTGTTAATTGATTGCAGGTGAGTTGAAAATGATTATTGAGCAGAGAACAGGTTTGGAATGTGGGCGGCAGAAGCTGTTGTTCCGAGGTAAAGAGAAAGAAGATGGAGAGTATTTGCATGATGCCGGTGTCAAGGATAATGCGAAGATTTTGGTATTGGAGGAGCCAGTTAGTGCAGAGAAGGAACTTCCAGAGATGCCACAACCAGAGGTGAAAGGAAGAGAGGAAGAAACATCAACCGAAGATATCAAAGAAGAAGAGCAGCAGCCTTCAATCTCTGAAGTGGAGGACAAAGAGGAGATCTTGAAGGCGCTTCGAGCTATTGATGAAGTTAGGGCTGAGGTTGATATGCTGGCCGGAAGAGTGAGTCCATCGAGTTCGATTGGCTTAGCTGTATCAGACTTCACTTGTTATGTTTTTGCCTGAGATCTCCCTCCTTTCCATTTACTAAACAGGTGTCTGCACTTGAAGTTGCTATCAATTGTGGAACAAAGGTTGCTGAAAAGGAATTTGTTGTATCGGCAGAGTTACTGATGAGGCAGTTGCTGAAACTGGATATGATCGAGGCTGAAGGAGAAGCTAGGGTTCAACGGAAGGCTGAGGTAAGTTTTTCTGTGTTAGTTCTGTTTTTGTCTGAATGAGTTTTAGCTAAATGTTGTGGCGATTCAACCATGGGCATGCTACTAGACTCATTACCGTAGTTTCTCCAAATGCAAGCGACGTCAGCATATAGCAGGCCTGATGGATGTAGATGTGATGCCTAGTCAAGTCAAGAAATGGTAGATTAGGTTTAAAAATTTGTACTGCCATTTGCAGGATATTCTGCCTATGTTTGATTCAGCCTAATAGTAAAAGTGGGAGATTGTAGAAAACTTACTAAAACAAGTGAATGATGGTCGAATAACTAGATGGTCACATAAACGTTCGGCTGTCATATTTCGAGTAGTAGAAATTTGAAATTGTAAGGTTGTATTCCATCGAGAGATTTGTTATTTGATCAACCAGAGACACGCCAACTGTCTGTGACTGAAAGGTACGAGGTCCTAAGATTGCTGGTGTTAAACTTGTTTGAACATTACTACAGGTGCGGCGAATCCAGAATTTCCACGAGCTGCTGGACAACTTGAAGGCAACAAATGCGAAGCCAGTCAACACAAACGTCAATGTTGCCACCGTGACGACTGATTGGGAAACGTTTGACTCCGGAATGGGAAGCTTGACGCCACCACCGCCGGGGACATCTTCTTCAACTGCCATCACCGAGGAATGGGAAAGGTTTGATTAGGTAAACAAAGGAGCCCTTCTCAACTACTCCTGCCAACGAAACGTTTGGACATATATAGTTCACTGAACAGCATATAACACTCGTACCATATTCAGAAGGTGGTGTCATTCTTGGTTTCTTTTTACTGGTACTGCCGAAACAAGTTTACGAAGAAACTGCCTGCCAATTTGCTGTAAGATCCATCATTGCGATCATTCACTTGTGTGAGGTATATTGTTACTGTTTTAGGCGACGGACTAGATAGCAAACACTGATCGTTGGGTTCTGATGTTCACAAAACAGCTGTCGAACCAACTGATATAATAATATATAATAGATATAACCTGAATACATACAAAAACCCTGAGAGAACTTAAACACGAAGAAAAAAAACAAAAAACTCACAATATGTATATTCTTCACCTTACAAATTGATTGTCAAGCCTCTAGCACCGTTGATATAAGGAGAGGGTGCGATGTCTTCAGCATAATTGGCACCGGTATTCCAGCCATGCTTAGTAGGGTCGAACTTCTCGCCGTCGCCCCAAAGTGCATAAGCTTCCTCGCCGTGAACGGCGTCGTCGCCGATGGCTAGCTGATCCTCGGGCATTCGCAAAGGGATGAACAACCTAATGGCCAGAAGTATGAGGGTGGTGGAGACCACGTTCCAGCCGATCACGAACAGCGCCGCTACGATTTGCTTGAGGAACTGGACCCCTCCATTGCCGCCGTAGAATGCTCCCCTGGTTTTGATCGGAAGGATGAGCTCGCATAGCTCCGGCTCGGCTAGGAGTCCCGTCAGCAGGCCGCCCAATAGCCCCGCCACCGCGTGGGTGTGGAACGCGCCTAGTGTGTCGTCTACCTTCAGAGCATGGAAAAACCAAGGCCAAATGAGAAATCTAATTGTAGAATGAATTCTATTTTGTCATTACTAGGTGGATCATGGGCCCATTGGGCTCGATGAAGTCATCTTGGACAAGTCAAACTTATGACGCAGATGAGATGGGTCCTTCTCAATTCTCATCTGTGGCTTTGAATTTGATGGGTCAAAAGTTGCAATCGATTAAATATAAGACCAACTTGGACTCAACTCAACGCAACAGAAGGTTCTTAATGGTTGGTACTTGGTACTACATTTTTCCGGCCCTAGAAAAATATCTCATCATTGATCGGGGTTAGGTTTGGATTTTATTATTATTAATATTATTATTATTATTATTATTATTATTATTATTATTATGGGCTTTTATAGCACTTATTTTTATAACCTTAGAAAATATCTTATCCTGTAATTCACAACCTATGTATTTTTTTCGTTGACTCAACCTATATTCATTCTTCTTAGGGTTTTAAACTTTTAATAGAAAAAAATATGAGTTAACCCAGCTTATAGAAATACATCGATTTAGTCCTCTTTTCAAATTAAACCAAATATTTGTATCACTTATGAGGTAAGCTCGGTGGTCCCTTCTTACCTTTTGTTTCTCATGTTATTCTTTATATATTTCTTGTTGGTTTTTTGTATGGTCAAATATTGGTGTGGTTAACATTTAGCTTTTGTTTCATTTTTACTATAATATTTTAATTTTTAAAATTATTATATGAACAAATTAATCACTCTTAGATAACCTCTATTTATTATTTCTTAGACAAATTATTTGCTATAATAGTTACACTCCGAAATCTAGCGGCATAATAATACAACCAAATACGCACATATACATGAAGAATTTATTACTTAAGTTAAGTTATATATTCCAAATTGGTAATATGAATATATGATGAAGATTATATCACATGTTTAGTTGTATTAAAAATAGATAATTGGGCTCGGCATATAATCACAGTATGTTAAAATCGTAAAAACTAAAAATGTGATATTAGAGGCTATATATGAAATAGAAAATATATTTCATCATTTTGGATGATCCAAAAGTACAAAAGGTTAAAGTATATTTCATTACGAATCGTTTGAACACATCATTTTTACATGCGTTATTATAGAGCAAAATGAAGCTTTTTTTTAAATGTGAATTTCTTAGTTATTTAAGTGTTGTTTAAAATAACTAAGCAATAAATCAATTCATATAACTCAAGGGTAATGTCTATTTTTTATCTAAATATTTTTCAGATTGTTTTATACTATCCAAACCTATTAAAATTCTATTAATAATCCAAATTTTTCATAATGCATTAAAATATGCTTAGGATAGGGTCAGTAACTAAATCTGGACCTTTTAGATCTAAGTGGATCCAGAAAATTCAAATCTAAGGGTTGTCAATTAAAAGCATTTTATTTTCTCTCGTTTTCTTAATCGGCTTTTATCTTCTTCGTTCTAACTCGGATTTCAATTTTTTTTTTCATAGATGGTACGAGTTCGTTGTGCTCTACAAAATGAGATCAATTTTCAATATATTTTGAAAATTTTTTTTACCAACCACATACCATATGGTAACTTCTTCCTTTTTAAGTCGTTTTTGAAAACATTTGCTCAGAAGGAACGAGTTCATCATGATCTATTGGATCTATAAATTTCTGGGTGAAAAAAATACTAGACCAAAATTATCATTCTTTACCACTATGGTATGTGGGTGGTAACTTGTGGTAACTTGTAGTAAACAATGATAAAAGTCGTAAATGACAGTATACTCCTATTATTATGTATTCAACCTTCTTACCATATTGGTATATCCATACCATCATGGTACGCTTTCTTACCATATGGTATTAAATAGGAGCATACCATATGGTAATGACTGGTAAAAAAATTATTCAATTTTTTTTGTACTAAAAATATATCAAAGTGGATATCATTTTAAAGAGCACATTTAATTTGATTTATCTGTGCAAAAAAAAAAATTCGACTTAAAACGAAAGAGAAATCGTCCGTTAAAGATTAAATGGGAAAAGATAAAAGACTTCTGAATGGTTAAAGGTCATCCTAAAAATTACTAACCATCGCCCTAACTTAATATGTAGTTTACGGAATTGCCCATTTTGAATTATAAAATCAAACACAAAACAAACAACCCCTCCCCCTTCCATAAATCTAAAAAAAATATAAACCAAAATCCAACAAATTATCTTATGGACCGAACCATAAATCATAGTAAAAGAATATAAAATTATTGATATAAACCAAACAAATCCAAAAAAATTCCAAAACCCCTCAACCGAAAATCACCTTCGGTTGCACCATGGCTCAACCGAAAATTGCCTTAGGTTGAGCCATGGTACAACCGAAAATTGGCTTAAGTTGAGGGGTTTTGGATTTTTTTGAAAAAAAATCGGATTTTTACCTCGTCGAAGTCACTACTCATGATTCAGACGTATTCCCAACGATTATGACTCGAGAATGTCAACGATGAATTCAAGAGTGTGGGGGAGATTGAGTGTTTTTCATTTTTTAGGTCAAAGTGATGTTTGTTCGCTAAAGATGCCAAAATGTTAAAATTGTAACTTTGTTATTTTTGTAGGACAATCAATAGTAATTTTAAGGACGACTTTTATCAATTGTCAAAAACTTTCCAGGAGAGAGAGGGATATTGATGTCATGTTGATGTGGACAGGTTACTCATGGTTATTGACCATAGGGTTACTGACCTGATCCGCTCCCTTAAAATATTAGTCATTTTTACGTTATTGTTAATAATTTTATAACTTTAATCTTAGTTAAAATATTAAAATTTTGGAATATTGACCTTAATGAGTCTCTTCCACTCATTATCATTTTGTCAAATCAATATTACTAATAAAATTGCTAATTGAAAGTTAATATTTGATTAATTCTCAATATTTTGATAGATTTAAATAATATAAATGAATCTGAAAAAGATTTGAATAAAAAATAAATATTATACTAAAATATATCACATTTCAAATATTTTCGTCAAACAAAATAGTTTTGAACCAAATAACTCAACAATACTTAATCTGCCCATAAGAAACTTCAAATGAGAAACCCCGAAAAGTCAATCAAGTAGCTGCCTAGGACAAAGTGGAAAGAGAAGAGAATATATATGAAAACACGAGTAGACGGGAGAATTACCTTCTGTAGCAGTGCTGACTTCTTGTGGAGAACCATCATTGACACCCATGGAATGCTACCAGAAAGCATTCCCATCACTATAGCCGCCCACGATTGTACCAACCCTACACCCATCACAAAATTCCACACAAAATTCTTCTCATTTCAGTACCCGTAAAACAAATACCTTCCAAATCAATCCAGCAAGTCTCAGGAATTCTAAACGAACCTGCGCCGGGAGTAATACAAACAAGCCCCGTCATCATCCCCTGCACGGCTCCGATCACCGACGGCTTCCCGAAGAACACCACGTCCAGCGACGTCCACACCAGCAAGCTCGTCGCCGCGCAAACATTCGTGTTCAGAATCGCCAGCGAGGCGTCGATGTTCGCCGCGTAAGGCGCCCCACCGTTGAACCCCGACCACCCCATCCACAGAAGCCCCGCGCCGGCGAGCATCAGCAGGACGTTGTTCGGCGGGAACCTTTCCCTATCCGCTTTCAGCCGCGGCCCAACCTGCCCCGCCAAAATCAAATCATTAATTGCCCTGATTCAATCTCATCTAATCTAATCAATCAACTTCAATTGAATTGAATTTAATTGAATTAATTACCCAGTAAGCGGCAGTGAGACCGGCGATCCCGGAGGAGAGATGAATGACGTAGCCGCCGGAGTAATCAATTACTCCCCAGTGGTAAAGAAACCCGCCGCCCCACAGGCTAAAAGCCCCAACCGTGTAAGAAAAGACGAGCCAGAGCGGGACGAAAGCCATCCAGGCCCGAATGTTCATCCGCCCCAAAACGGAGCCGGCGAGCAGAATCATCGTGATCGCTGCGAAGGTGAACTGGAAGTAGACCAAAGTCGCCATGGGGTAAAACGGCTCCGCGACGTGGTAAGTCCCGTCCTCCTGTCGGTGGCGGCTCTCGGGGACGATGGCTCGACGGATTAGGTACTTCTGGCCGAGAGCAGGGGCGCCTTTCCCCCAAAAGGGCAAGAGCTCGTCGCCGAAGGCCATCCGGTAACAGAGCAGGACCCAGCAAATCAGGACGGCGGCGAAGGCGTAGAGCGCCATGAAGGCCGAATTGACTGCCCATTTCTTCTTCACGATGCTGGCGTAGAGGATTACGAGTCCCGGCATGCTCTGAATCGAGACGAGGGCGGATGCCGTCATCTGCCAGGCGTTGTCGCCTTTGTTTAGCCATTCTGGCACCGCTGGGTCCAGCGATCTGTAGGCTATTGGGATCTGCTCCATTTTTCTGGGTCACTTCTGTTATGGGACGGACGGGGGGTTAATCGGAGTATGAAGAAGCTGCTGCGACGATTGAACTACTCTCTGTTACGGGTTTTATGTGGGATTTTGCGGAAGGCGTGGCGCGGTGGTTTCCTACTGGAAGTTTCGTTGATTTTGAGCTGAGTTCATACTGCGGCTGTGAAGTGGACTTGGACTTTAGGGAAGAGGGGTCATGGTGGGCTCAAGATAGGGTGCATAACCCATGGTTATGCACCCATCAATAACCAAATCTGGACCCTTCATTTAGAAAATCCAGATCTAAGGATGGAGAATTAAAGACTATTTTTATTTTCACTAGTTTTCTTAATTGACTCATATCTTTTTCGTTTTAACTCGGATTTTAATTTTTTTTGCACAGATGAAACGAGTTCACCGTGCTCTACAAAATGAGATCAATTTTCAATATTTTTTTAGGAAAAAAAATTCTGGCCTCTCGGTACCAACTGCATACCATATGGTATCTTCTTCGTTTTTAATTCGTTTTTGAAAACGCTTGCACAGCAGGGATGAGTTCATCATGATCTACTGGATCTACAAATTTCTGGGTGAACAAATTACAGGACCAAAAAATATCACACAATACCATACAATACCACCCTGGTACGGGGTGGTATTGTATGGTATTTTCTTCGTTTTTAATTCGTTTTTGAAAACGTTTGCATAGAAGGGACGAGTTCATCATGATCTATTGGATCTACAAATTTCTGGGTGAACAAATTACAGGACCAAAAAATATCATACAATACCACCCTAGTACGGGGTGGTATTGTGTGGTATACAATGTTAAAAGTCGTAAATTACAATTAATATATTTCTACTATCATGTATTCAACCATCCTACAGTATTGGTTTGTTCATACCACCATGGTACTTTTTCAAAACATAGGTATGTTTTTATTTCAATACCAGTCAATACCATATGGTATAGGCTGGTAAAAAATGGCTCAATTTTTTTTGTTCGAAAAATATATTAAAGTGGATATCATTTTGAAGAGCACAATTAATCTGATCTAACTGTGCAAAAAAAATTAAATTTCGACTTAAAATGAGCGAGAAATCGTCCGTCAAAGATTAAAGAGGGAAAAATTAAAGACTTTCCATGAGAGCGAGGATACTGATGTCATGCTGATGTGGACAGGTTACTCATGGTTACTCACCACAAAATTACTGACCTGATCCATTCCCGTCATGGTGGCCTGGTGGGATTTAATTTTCATATTCCTCGGTCTTTCCTGGTCGTCTTGCCATAATGTAGCTATACAGTTATGATAATAAATTTTTTGTTTCTACAATCATAAATTGAAAAATATTAAAATATACACCATAATTTATCAATGAGTGCATCTAGGAATGTGAATAGTTAGCCAGATATCGATTAGAACGAATAATCAAGCTGATAATGATGAGTAGTGGTTAATTGATAATTAATAATTGTTTAGTGATTTTCTAGCTGATTTTGCTTAGTGGTTAGCTACTAATCGATTAAGTTAACCACTAAAGAATCAAATAACCGACTACTAGTATAACTACATCGTTTGAGTTTTGACTATGGGGAAGAAAGGCAAAATTCAAGACCAACCAAAGTCAATCTCGAAATATCTCAATTCTCACCAATTGCAAACAGTCGTCCACCCGAAATCTCAAATGTTTGAAAGAGTTAGAACCTAAAAGTCTCACCTCTCTCCAGTTCCCCTTTCTAGTCGATGAAGCAAACCTCAGTACCTAGTAGTCTTCATTTCTTTGATGTTTGTGAGTGATGGTGCTTGTGTTTGATGTCCAGCTAGTTGGTACTTGCCTACTTGGTACTACTAACGAGAAGAACACGTTTGGTTATTCAAAATTTGATGTATTGAGATTTGGATTTAGATTATGAATTCATGATAGATGACGTATTATATTGATATAATTTCTTATAATTACTATTTTATGCTAACCATTTAGAATTATTTTTAAATGATCTTCACTTTTTTGTTTGATTATAATTTATTATTAAAGTACCAACAAAAAAAATTAAAATAGCTGAAGAGAAGTATCACATGTGGAGGTTGTTATTGGTTAGTGGTTAATTAACCGAACCAATAAGAGGATGTTTTTTAGATAAAGGTGACAATTATTTTTTGTTGTTAGGTACTAGTTAAAGGATTCAAATCTAAGACCTTCAAATTTAAGGTTAGTGGTATTAACATTAGACCAATCATTTTTTTCATACCAATAAGAGGATGTTTACCGATAAGATTATTAGTTTAGTTACTAGTTACATTTTTGGCTTAGTGGTTAGCCCCAAACCGTTAAATTTTTTATGAAGGTGATAGAAACTTTTATTAAGGAAGGAAAGAGAAAATAACGTACAAGAAAAGCGAAGGGAAAGGACACGAACAAGGAAAGCTGCAGTTCAAAAGCCATGAACTGGCAGCAAACAGAAAAACTAAAAAAGACACAGAAAAGGCAGCAACACACACCAGCTTTGGGCTCGAAAGAGAAACAAACCAGCAAAGCAAAGCTGGACACGGCAAAGACAGGGTCAACCGCCAAGGGAAAACACAGAAGCCTGCAAACGCAGGAAGCTCCCATACACAAAAACGCGACGCTACAACCAATCAATTATTAGAGTTTTGACGACTCGGACAAGCTCGCTTCACCAATCTAATCCACTCAATGCCATTCTGTTTGCTCACCACCCAGCAGCAGCGACCCACCTCAGGAGGTTCCACCCCAACTTATAGCACACCTCTTTCCAATTCTTCCTTCTATCGTTGAAAGTTCTTGCGTTTCTTTCCTTCCAAAATTTCCCAAGTGTACGCGTGAAAGAAAAGCATCATGAAGCAATCAATCCAAGAAGAAGGCTCGATAATAGGCCAAACCGTTAAATTTATTACTGATTAATAGAGATCATTAGCACCCCGATAGGGGGAAAAGAATGTGCAATGTGGGTGTTGAAATTAGAATCTCTATATTCAATATTCGATGAGGCCATAGTTAGTTATCCAAACCTCTGTTGTCATTGCAATTACTATATTTGGTAATGGAACAGACAAAGAAATCCAGCCTCATGCTCAGGAGTCAGGATTGGCGCCGGCGGGAAGAGAATTTATCATGGACTTGGGTGGAAATTGATGAGAGAAAATTCGGATTCATATCCATTATTTTGTAACCTTCGTCTGTGCTTGTTAGAGTTTGGAAGAGATGGCCTCGCCTAGCCACCATGGTTATGTATTTGTGTGCTTCCAGAAACGGGACGAGAAGTTATAGAATTGACTCGTCATAGTCGTAATTCATATGTCATATGTGCATGGTGCCAAATTTGGAAATTGTAACAGAGGAGGAGACTCATAATTAGTAGGAAAAGGAGAGAATTTTGTGATACATTTCCAAGCATTATCTGGGATGAGGTTGTAATTTCTCTTGCTGTAACTAGGTAGTCAAAGTTCAAGTTAAGTATGATATCCATATGCGGGTGGAAATCGGTACGATATATGTATTCCAATATTCGAATAATAGAAAAGGAAAACACGGTTTCCCCTTTTCTTTTCTTTTCCTTTCTTCCTCACCAAAAATGATTACACGACTGGCACCCTCTTGGAGTCTTGGTCGCCACCAGACAACCGTTGCTTTCCCCCACCTGGCATCGCCGGTCATCGCCACCATAATAAGCCGTGACTCACCAGATTGTCGCCCGCCGTCGCAATCAAAGGATTGCGCCGCCTCCGCCGATGCATAGCCCAACCTCATCGTCGATCCGTCACGACCGCTAACGGATCTGTCTCCGTTCCTCGGTCTATGGTTCTAGTTCTCGTCGGACCTACAACCACTGCCATCTCTCTTCTCTTTCTCGCGTCGCGACCGTCAAGACGAAGATCAGCTGCGGCCTGCATCATCTCTCTGATCTCGTGAAGCTGGTCGACGACGACGAGCTAGGAAAGAAGGAATATGGGCCTTCTCTCCTCTCCAATCTCCCGTATCGCTGCTGTGAAAGGGAAGAGATAGAGCGGACTAGCAGATTGCGGGGCTAGAGGTTTTAGGGGCTTAGGGTAAAGGGGAATTGGCAGCTGGGTTGGGATATGGGCTGGGCTGGATTGGGGGCTGGGCTCATTGCTCAGTGTCACGGACCAACTCTTGGCCGTGCGGCACTTAGCACTCAAGTCTCGTTAGAGCGCTAAGTCAGCCTTGCTCGTATTCACTCAAACTCACAAGTATGGAGAAATGCTCTAGAGATGGAAAACTCTCAATTTCTGGATGAATGAAAAATGAGGGAGAGGGATGCTTATATAGGCATCCTCTCCACTTAGTACAATGTATGTAGGCCATCATTAATGAATGAACCTAGATAGTCCCTCCATACATGAACTAGCCCAATACATGAACAATAATTAATAAGGTGAATGTATGTTCACCTATACATGAATTATAATAAATAGGGAGGATGCATGTGCATAAGTGCATGAATCTAGAGATACATGCATGCACCTACTGACTCACTCCTACTGTCACTCTAGAAAATGACCAAGTGTAACCACTTCCTAAAGTGTAGTATAGCGGGTTTGGGTTTTAATGTCAACCCGGGTCCTAGATTTGATGACTACTCGGTGAATTCTTGTTATCTAGCAGTGAAACTTTAGTGCAGATCAAGCAAACAAAAACACAAAGCAAGTTAAACAGTTGTTTCAAGTCGAGAAAGGTCACCCGGATATGGTTCCCCCTAGACTGCAGTTAAGCCGGATTGCAATTTACCAAGTTCAATTTCTATGATAGTTATACTGCGGAAGGTTCTTAAACAGTCTGAAGTCTCGACTAAAGGTCTTCAGACCCTCTCAATCTGAGTCTCTAGCGGGCGACTAACCTCCACCGGAGTAAACAGATTGAGTCCCTAACGAACCAAACCTCCACTACCGAAGTAACTTCAGTACAGAATAGTGAATTGGCTCCTCGACTAAAGTCACCAATTCACTACCTTCAATTAAGGGTGTAGGACAAATGTGGAGACACCCTCGGCAGTAAAAGCACGGGCCAGGAACACGGCCGTGCTTTGAATTAGGCGCGCCCGTGCTTTGGCTCCAGCTCGACCGAATGACTTCCAAATGCCCCGAAACTCGTGCTTAGCCTTTCCTTCGACGTCCGGGACCTGAAATGTGACAAAGTAGCACAACCCAGCGTAAAATAGGCCAAAAATACACGACT